CTACATAGCCCAGCAGGTCTTGAAATTACTGTGATACTCCTTCAGCCTCCTGAGTACCTGGGATTACAGGTGTGTACCACCATGTCCTGGAGGACACAGCATTATAGATCAATGTGAGATAAAATGAGTTCCCTAGTACAATCAAAAAACAAACAAACAAGCAAAAACCCCAGAAAGAAAGAAAGAATAAAAGACAAAAAGGGGAGAGAGAGTATCTGGGAGAAACACCAAACTATGAGTAGAGCAAAATTAATGCAAATCCCTTAAAAAAATTACTAAGCCTCCTTTCCCCCTATTTCCATGTGAAACTGCTCCTTATGTAACTAAAGTCTCAAAACGAAGTTTCTGAAATCTTTTTTTTTTTGGCGGAACTGGGGATTGAACTCAGGCCCTTGTGCTTGCCAGGGAAGCGCTTATTCCACTGAGCCATCTCCCCGGCCCCTCAAAAAGAAGTTTCTAAAGTCAGGTCCCTTCTAGAGAATGTCACATGAATACTGAAATAAGAATCTGCTGCAACAGGAAATAGACAACTACTAGATCCTATGGCACTGGACACAGTTAGGGACTGCAGAATAACACAAGTGACAGAGCCAGGACAGTATTGTGCCAACTAAGCAACGTATGTTATCTCCTTTCCTTCTAGCATCTAACACAGTTATCTAGTATCATACATATTTCAGACCGTAAAAGATAACAGATATGTTCAGAATACATGGCACTAGCACCCAGGCTCCTTCTGGTTATAAGGCTTTAATCTCTCCTAAGCAAACACCAAAGAGGGGCTAAGGGCATCTCAATAGTACTGGATGGAGTATGTGCAGACAAGTCTTCCACTCTAAATACAACTGAAGCTCACCCAGAGGAGGCTCCTGTTGCCTACCCTTTTCTACTAATTACACACAAAGCAATGATAAAACACAGAAAAGACTTAACATCAGAATGGATACTATTGGGCCAGTGAGATAGCTCCATGGTCTAAAGTGCCTGCTTAGGCAAGCTTACGCAAAGCACAGGGACTGTGGTTCAATTCCCGGCACCACATTCTGTGCCAGCCCCATCCTCAGGGCAGCCTGAGTCAGTCACAAAAAAAAAAAAGAATGTGAGAATGGATACTAGGATTTTCTAAAGTGACTTAAATACCTGCAAATCTCTGGAACAGAAAAAACATGCTGATTAATTGCTTGGCAAACAAAACAACCCCCCCCCCATGGTACTATGAGCTGAACTCAGAGGTACTCTACTATTGAGTTACATCCCCCTCCTTTTTTTTTTTTTTTAAGACAGGGTCTTGCTGAGTTGCCCAGACTGGCCTTAACCTTGCACTGCTTCTTTAGCTGCCACAGTAGCTGGGATTGTGCCCCACTACACCTGGTAAAGTGTTAATTCTAAGTAAAGGAGTCCTGATGTCTGCCTTGGTAAGATCAGGTAATCAAATCCATCTGGCAAGAGAATTTTCCTGAAGGAGGACAATCCTGTGTGAATATGAAGTAGCCAGCTAGCCTGAGGGCAATCTGAGGGTAACATCTGAAGATGACACTTGGGTGATACTTGAGTGGCTTGGAAGGGGACACCTGAGAGTCAAAGTGTGACACCTGAGTCAGCAAGTGCTATCGTTTCGAGTCAATAAATGTTTATGAGAGTAATTGTGCCAGATATCTATAATTTATATCAACTTTCCACTTTAATCTCATCTGTCTTTCTACTTTTTTTGGTCTTTTTGAGACAGTGTTTCACTGTACAGTTCAGGCTGACCTCAAACTCACAGCAATCCTCCTGCTTCAGCCTTCTGAGTGCTGGGATAACAGGCCTGTGGCACCATCCCTGGCCCTGTCATCCTACTTGCACAACACATAAATATTAAAAACAGAGGGTATCAATGATGAAATAATATGTTGACTAACAAGAAACTTTTTTTTTTTTTGCTTATGAACAATACTTTAAGACAGGACAGTGCCATAAAAATCTTCTAGGACAGAGAGGCTGACAGACTGCTCATTATCACTCTAATGGCTATAGCCAAGGAAAAAGAATTTCTTCATAGTGTTATGATTAAATTGGATAAGTTATGCAAATATCTGGTAGAAAGTGCTCATTATTCATTATTAAAACACAGAAGACAGGAAAGACTGAGTGTAGAATCAGCTAGAAAGGGTTTTACTCTGTGCTTATGGAAGGCATTTCTACAATGTCAAACCTGACTACCTTCCCTGGTACTCTGAGCATGACCAAAGGCTAAGGCCCCTCTCCCTGCCTTAGATAAACCTTATCAAGTCCCTAGTCTGTGCGGGTTTTCTCACTTTTACTTCAGCTAGGCTTGCTGGGTGCACCAGAACGGCAGTGGTAAATCTATGGCACAAGTGCTGCAGTGAGATGTCTGTATCACTGAAAGCTCTAAGAGGTTCGGCATCACTGTGCTAGGATGATGACGGCTGCACGTTAGAATCAGCTGTGCATCTTCTCAACTATTAGCCACCCTTATATAGTGCTGGTGAGAATGTAAAATGGCTCTTCAAAAAGTATCTCAGTGATTTCACCGTTAGGGATATAAGAAGAAAATGGAAAGCATGTCAACCTACGAACTTTTGTGTATCAATGTTCATTGCAATATTATCAGCAAATGTCCATCAACTGATCAATGGATAAATAAAATATAGTATTACCTGCAGAGTGTGATACAGCTCAGCCATAACAAGAAATGATGTACTACCAATACACGGTATAGCAGACATGAAACTTGAAAATATGCTAAGTGAAAAAACCCAAAAGATCACATATTATACATTTGTTTCTATGATATAGCCAGACCAGGTAAGTCCATACAGATAGAAATTAGTGGTTTCCAGGCACTTGGTGGAAAGAGTAGGGAGTGATTATAATTAGGTACAAGTTTCATTTGGAGATGATACAAATTTTCTGGAATTAGTGGTAATGATTGCACAACTTTTAATCAATGTACTAAAAAACTGCTGAATGTAACCTTTAAAAGGGTGAATCGTATAGTATATAAATGTTATTGCTGTGTCTAGATGCCTCACCAAGCCTCTTATGGTCATAGGTGGGACTTTATCAGACGTGGCTGGATCTAAAGCATGTGACACTGGGATGGATTTATGCTGCAATACTAGCTAGGGTCAAGGGCATTAGGATTAACGGTGTGCTACCTGCCCTAAGTAGCCTGGATAAGATATGAGGAGTAGAAAGTGCTGTGGCTGCCTCTTGTTGCTTTGCTACCTTCTGTCTGCCAAGCCACCCTGCCTTGGAGCCAGCCAACTATAGACTGAAACTTGTACACACTGTGTACCGAATAAATCTTTCTTCCCTTAACTCTGAGTGTTGGGTATTTTGTTTTAGCAACAAGAAAAGTAACTAAGACTGTAAATGTCTCAATTAGAAAATTATATTTTAAATTTCACAGATTTATATACTTTAAAAAACTGGATTTTTATGGTATGTAAACTATATTTCAATTTAAAATAATTATAATACACTTGCTGGGCCACATCATGAGGAGACTCCAACTTAATTACCTGAGACAGACTTAACAGATATCAAGATGAAACTGGAAAGATAGGCCTAAAACTCCAGATATTTACTCTGTCTCTTTGTTTTTTTGTAGTACTAGGGTTCAAACCCAGAGCCTCACACATGGTAGGCAAGTGCTCTACTACTGAGCTATATTCCTAGTTTACTCCAATTTCATTCACAATTACAGAAATATAAATTAAAACCACAATGAATTGGGCATGATGGTGCATGCTTATAATCCCAACACACAGGAGCTTGTGGCAGAAGCACTGTCATGAGTTCAAGGCCAGCCTGGGCAACAGAGTGAGTTCAACACTAGCTTAGACTAGATAGCAAGATTCTGTCTCAAAAAAATTTAAAAAACAACCAAGCCAAAAACCCCATAATGAGATGTGGTCAAACACTTCCAAATTGGGAAAACTTTAAAAATCTATCAATACTAAGTGTGAGTAAGCTGAAGAGCAATGAGATTGTTCATATACTGCTTGGGGAAATTATACCTCTTTAGAGAACATTGTGGCATCATTTATTGAAGTTGAAGATATGTATGTCCTCTGACCCAACCATTTTATAACTAGAGAATCCCTGTGCTTGAGAGAACCTCTGCATTAAAAAAAAGGTTCACCAGATATATATTTTTACATAAGGTAAATGCTCAGAACAGGAAAGCAAATCTCAATATTCTACAGTAGTAACAGGGATATGGGGGAGGAGTTGTATACAATAGGTTAACACTTATTTTCTATCTTCTATTTTTCTATCATGTCCAAAACTGTTGTTATTATACTAAATAACTAATTAAAATTAGCAGATTTTAAAATTATTGCAGAAAGATACACCAAGTTTAGCAAAATTAGTTGCCTCAGGACAAGGAAATATAAAGTCTTTTCACTGTACTTCAAATTTTGAGCCCCATGTGAATGTATTTCTTTTCTTTTTTTTTTT